TAAAGTGATCGCGAGAATAAAATAAACACCCCCCAGTCTGTAATTATTTTTTTTAAAACTATCAATCTTGCAGTAAATGTGATGTGGTAATATAAAAGAAAGTTGAATAACAACTTTACAATTTCTTCTTTTGGGCTTATGGCGTATCTTAAAGCCGTTGAATAGTTCTGAGAAAGGGAACGGATGGCAGTGTACACAATGACGAGAATGTTGGCATACCTTTAAGCTCCTGTCATGTAATGTGACTGAAATTTCTTTACATATGGTAATAATTTAAATTATGCATTATATATATATATATATATATATATATATATATATATATATATATATATATATTTATATTTATATATATATATATATATATATATATATATATTTATTTATGTATGTATATATATATATACATATATATATATATATATATATATATATATATATATATATATATATATATATAGAGAGAGAGAGAGAGAGAGAGAGAGAGAGAGAGAGAGAGAGAGAGAGAGAGAGAGAGAGAGAGAGAGAGAGAGAGAGAGAGAGAGATTGCTTCTAAAACGACTACTCCTACATACTCGAAAACTGAGCTGGACTGAGTCCAAATTACATGAACTTCTGCATTTGCTAAAATTGGGAATGGAATTTGGCCAGATTAGACAATAGCAGCTTCTGAAATGACAGCAAATGAACCATAAAATACATTAAAAGTTTTTAGAAAGTTATTGACTTTTTTCCTTCCAATTTATTCTTGAAGTCCATGAGGTGAAATTGAGCAAGCGGAGACAGCAATCTTTTGAGAGTTGCGCATCTGAATAAGGCCAAGCATTATACTCTGCAAGCCATAAGCACCCGTCAATCATACACCAAAATAAAGGGAATTAATTTTTTTGTTTTAAAAAAAAGCCTTACTGTTTCTTTAAAAAAAATAATGTTATGCAATGTGCAAAACTGCAGTGTGGAACTTTAAGAAACAAACATGTTAAATGTTCTTGTGTTCAGATGCATCCTTATTGTCCTGACCGTGTTAGTTTAACTATATCATCATCATCATCATCATCATCATCATCATCATCATCATCATCATCATCATCATCATCATCATCATCATCATCATCATCATCATCATCATCATCATCATCATCATCATCATCACCATCATCATCATCATCATCATCATCATCATCATCATCATCATCATCATCATCATCATCCCTTTACTTACCCAAGAGGTTGTTAGGGCACCATAGTTGACTTTGCAACCAATTCCCTTCATCGTTCCCTGTCCTTTACTTCCCTTTTGAATGACCAAATCCCATGCCTGTTCACTCCTTAATGTTGTTTTCCCACCTTTTTTTTATGTCTTTCTCTTCTTTTGCAGTCTCACACTTTGGTATGCAAGATTGTTTTTGCTAGTCCAGATGATCTTGAGACATGATGTACAACTTAAGTTTCCGCCTTTTTATACAGTGGTCAAGAGGTCTTCATAGGATCCAATAGCTCGTTGAATCCTGTTGTGGACTTCTTCGTTGGTTACGTGGTCATTATATGAAATATCCAAGATCTTGCGGTAATAAAATGGATTCTGATGTGATCTATAGTTACATATAAATATTAAATTGCATATTTAGGTTAGTAAGCAAGGTATTGTGGCGTAGATATATAGAAAAGAAAGTCTTTGGTTCGAAACTCAGGAGATAACACATATAGTGATATTAGTAGTAGTTGTCGTAATCGTTCTCATTGCCGTTATCCTAATAGTAGCGAAATGACTATTGCATTTTAAAATAACATCATTTACCAGTGAAACGACGACGACAACTACAACATCAAAACTAATACATTGAAAAGCTGAATAGAGAATATTATACGCATCTCTATAAGCATAGCTAAGTTTCTTTTATGACGGTGAAAGGAATTATTTTGTCACCAGTTTCATGTATCTCCAAAACCGCGACTAATTATTGGTCAGTAAATCATGTGCTTATATTTAATATACCGATGCATGATTTTCCTTATTTGCATATTATCGGTCATCGAGAAACAAAGCTGTTTGCGCCATCTAGGGCTGCCATTTGACCATTACAAGTGTCAAGGACCATTGAGGCCAGTTATAACCATTATCAACCGCATTCGAATCACCTCGTGAATTTTGGTTAAGAGCTCCATTGTGAATATAATTCGATAAAGTAATACAACCTTATTCTAGGGAAATCACACGAAAATGGCGTAGAGCTCAGTAGCACGATGGATGCCGAAGTTCTTGGTGTAACATAGAACCATGTCAAAATCAACATGATTTATTTAAGTAAGTTCAAGGAATTAGAAATAAGAATGTTTTACACTTAGTTCCTGCTTTAAAAAACAAGCATGGGGACGTTTTGGCAAAGAATAAGTGATATCAGCCCAGTCATCCATAATGGGCGGTATGTTATGTGCACACAAGACTTGATTTCTTTTGTGGATAGTGTACATACAGTAGTATTTCAGACATGTTTTTCCC